GGAATATATACATGACACAAAGAACTCCCAGACTCAGAACAACAATTTGTGGATTACACACGTGAAGTGGGACGACACCCCATGTGGGATCGAACCCAAACACTCGGCCTAGTAGGAAGCGGCGTGGTGACCGCTTTAACCACTACGCCATCCGTGCAGTCAACATCAACTTAGTCCAGCTTCGGTGCTTGTCTGTTTGTGTTATAAGGAGGTACCGGTCTTTTCTCCACAAACGTTTTCGCTTTAGTTCGAGTCTACAATGTTTTATTTATTTCTACGAAAAGTGTAAAAAGTTTGAGAAACACTGTCGATATAAGTAACTTCAAAGAGAGTTTATTAAAATAAACATATGTAAACTCACGCCTTATTTCGTTCCGGGGTAAGCAGACACCATAGATTGTAACGTACAGTTAGCGCTTATTCCACATTATATCAGGATTTTTACATTGGCTCGCCGGTTAGGTGCTTTGTTTATTATTTTTTTCATATATTTATAATCGAACGAGAAAAAATATATATTATTATTTTATTTTTTAACAAAATGTCATTTTTAAGTATTATTTTATTTTTCTCATAGTGGAAATCAATTATGACATCAAATATGTTAACTTAAAATTAAAATTTCTATAAAATTATAGCACATACATTTTTTTTATTCAGCACAAATTTTATCAAATATTTCTATTACTTTATTTTTAAATACACACATACATACGCTCAAGCATGACTATATTTATGCCCGAAAGGGGTTGGCAGAAGCGTAATAAACGCCATAAACATATAAGCATAGAGAGAACACGGGCTACAGCTGCCTGTAAGTAGAAGCGATACATGCAACGAGAGAGATGGATGCCCGATAGTTCCTTCCGTGTCTGTTTAGATAAGCTGCGATTGGCTATCGTGAAGTGGGCATGGTTTTGATCGTAGAACAGGCGGGAGATTAAAAATTTCCCCAGCCAACCACAGAGCTCGATTAGACAGAGATAGAGGGAACCATCTATAGAGGGATAGAGGGATTGGGGCTCTTGTTCACACAATGCTTATATCTCTATGGGTTTTACCGAGATTAGATGGGAAAATTAGGAGTAAAATGACAGGACAGATAGATAAGAAGAGAAGAAGGCAAATGTAAATATAATAATCTGTAGATATAGTCTTATTTTGTCACATTAAGTTCATCATTGTAAAAGTATAGTTTTTTTTTATTATTTATTAAAATATATATTTATTGTTATTTGAATACACAAATATTATATTGAGATTAATAAATGATGTAATAATATACGAAATCTCTTAGTTTTAATTTGCAATATTGTTTAGTATTTTTAGATAATTTGGTGTAAGGAGTAATTATTACATTCATAGTTTTAGATACAGCGTGTTACAGAAAGGTGTTGGGGTCTATGACCAAAAACTTGACCACACAAGGTCGTAAATTTGACCCCGTGAACGATATAGTGTTTTTTTTTTGGGCAAAAGTAATATTTTTACAAAAATCTTATTTTATCAAAGTGACAAATTATAAACAGCAATAGAAATGTTGATGGACTGTCAAAATAAAGAAGAGAGGATTTGTGAAGAAAAACCTGGAGTTTGAACTTGCGCCTTTCTGTAACACAAGAATATCAAGAATATAAAGTTAGGATCCTTGGTTTCTTAGGAAAATGATATTATTTGTATTCAATAGTTATTTTTTGTTTATATTAACGAAAGATATTGTTTAAAAAAATGTAATACTCTAGTTATAGTCCCGAAGTTTCGTTCAAATCGTTCAGGTTGTGGTCATCTTTATTAATTTAGTCTGATGTAGCCATATCTTACTACTGTTATAAAAGCGAAAATTGGATGAGTGTTCATTAGTCAATCACGTCAAAACGGCTGAACAGATTTGGATGAAACAGAAACAGATTATAGTCTGGAATAGCACGCAGCCTTATCTTGGAATAACTGTTGTCAATAACGTGAACGAAACAGCGGGCAAAGCTAGCTGAATATATGGACAAGTCGAGCCAGAATGCAAATAATTTAGCTTTTTATACTAAAAATATTGTTAAACATATAACTATCTGGACCCAAATTGGGCATGGCTTGTACTGTGGACTCTAGAACAAAAATATACATACAGTGTTTTGATGGACGCACTAAAAAGGAACGAAATCCCGTGACCTTCGACGTTGTATTCGAATATTCTACCACAGCGTCACACAGGCCGTTCTTTGGAGTCTTCTTTTATTATTCTATGGATTAAATTCCTAGAAAAGATTATTTATAAAACACTCTCCTCTTAACAAAATCCTTATGAATATAATTATTTTAGTTTTAGGTATCTAGTCCTCAGAACAAATGTACACATAATCCATCCACAAATTACGTTAAGCAAAGTTCATGATTTAAATTCTCCATGATATTTTTGACTGTGACGCCACATTTTGCAATTTTACACGACTATGTGTAGTTAAAATTAAATATAAGACCCAAAACTTGTTTTATTATCATTCAGTGTTTTTTTTTTTTTTTTTATAAAACCATATTTATTTTTAACAAATCAAGAATTTTCAAAATAACCCCTTTGACCCCTCAAGACCCTTTATTGTGTAACGTAGTTTATGGATGACATCCAACCTTTTTTTTTTAAATAAATAAATTATAAATAATGCAATATTATGTGAAAGCGTTCTGTTAAGCGAAGTATTATACGTGTGTTGTGTATGTATTAAATGCGACTGTGGGATAGCGATCTACGCGGATTTCGTACTTCGTTAATAGACAGTACAAATATCTATATATTTGTTCTGTATGTAGGTATGGGGGGTATGGGGTAGGCAGAGCCGTGTAAAATTCCAGCGTATACTATATAACTTTAATCCAGATATGTAGTAAACGGAAGGCAATAATTGATAAAAATATGATGCTAATTTCGAGACCTTTTTTTTTAATTTAACCTATATTTAATGTTTAAAAAGGTATAAATTAAAAAGCAAGAAACATTGCAGAGGTACTCAAAAATCTATGATTTTTTTCTTTATTAGTTTACAAAAAAGATCATTGAACGGCTTAAAAACTCTCGATCAAGTAAAAGTCAAAAACATTTGGTCCATTCGTTTAGCTTAACATAGCTCCTAAACAGATGAGCCGATTTTGATTTAATTTCTGCTATAGACAAGTGCCTCGGAGAGCCGTCGGTCCCGGTTGCTAGACGGACATCTGTGGCAATCGTTACGGGTAGTTGCACCCCTAAAAAGTCCAACTACAGTTTTTCTACAGAACTACGATATTGCCTAAAGCTTTGATGGTAGTAGCTCCGCTAAAAAATCGAAGTTTAGCCGTATTGCAGTAGATGTAAAGCCGACCCAACCTAGTTTGGGTAAAAGGCTCGGAGGAAGTCTGCTATAGATAAACCGACACACCTATAAATAATAATATTTTCACACATTTCACACACAACCGTCTGATCCCAAACTAGACAGAGCCTGTACTATGGTAACCAGACTGCTGATAAACACACTTATATATATATCTCTAAATACATAAATATTATAGATAAAGTACACCCAGACACAGAACAAATGACCGTGCTCATCACACAATTAGCTGTCCTGGGTGGGAACCACTAGACCAACAGGCCAGTCAACCTGTTTAATTTATAACTACCCTCTAATAAAATATACCGTTTAATACCGCCTTTACTCAGAGGACCGTTAATATTTAAATACAGTATTAAACAGTTCGCGTTGGTTGCTTATCTCTGTCGCTGCTACTCAACTTGTAATATAATTGTTATGCAATTGTTAAAGAATATTATCTACTTAAATAAATTGTTTATACAAGTGTTTAGGTTTTATTTGTGTGAAATTGGGTCAGGTGGTGAGAGAGCTATGCTTCGGCACAAAAGTGATCCTACGGTATTATGTAGTGAGTGTGGTTTTCCGCATGGTGACGGATTAAGAATACAGATTGTTACCACCCTTGTTCATCCCGTGGGTGTCGAGTCGACCAAGGGAGCAAACTACAACCTGTCTGGCCATCGTGGTATAGTAGGCCAAAACCTCCTTCTAAGGAGAGGCATATGTTCCGCAGTTGACTAGTAAAGATGATGTGAGTGAGGGAACTGGAGCCCAAACCCCCTGATACTAAACGATCCAAAGAGTCTGTCTGCTCGTTTGCTTTCTAAGCCATAAAAAAAGTTAATGTCCCACGGGAGTTCAGCAATAATCTTATTTGTTTTACAGAATCCTATCGAATACAAAATTTCAAATCAGATAGCGTCTTTATTACGAAACAGACTACGAAATGCGTTACAGCAAGTGTTGACATCATAAAAAAAAAAGATTCCGACGAATTGAGAACCTCGTCCTTTTTTGAAGTCGGTTATATATATATTTACACATGTCGATTCCGTGGCGTATAACACCATAAATTGTATTCACAGGACTCTTTATTTACCCGGCGAACTCAAATAAAACTACCAGAATGGCTTTCCTGAAATCTTCAACATATGTCGTGACATTTCAGGATAGTTACGCAAAACCTTTGTGAGTTATACACGTAAACCTTTCATGTAATCCACAAGTCTTTCGCTACTACTTTTACAGGTTAACTTTATTATGTTGGTGTCATGTCGGCGCAAATCGAGCGTTCATAGTGGCAGCGACAATATAGCTACAATGTGAAACATATTGCACCGACCTTAAATACAATTATACCAATTTGAAGCTTTTTACAATCGAAAAACTCGAAGTTTAATAATAATTTTAACAAGACGTCAATAAATACAAACTTGATAACTAAAATAAAGCTAAGAAAGAAACGAATAAAATAAAATAAAGAACACAATGAAAAATATAAAGAAAAACATCAAGTATAATTTCTTTTAGTCTACCCTCAATCGTAAAAAAGACATATCTCTTTGCATTTTACGAAATAAATTTAAATCACGTGAATTTTTAAATTTGCTCACAATAAACCACAATTTAAAAAAAATAAGCCATAAAGTAGTTCCTTTAGAAATCTGTGCATATTCCCTTCCTCTCCCAGTCACCATATCTTGTGGGTTCTGGTCCCCTTGGACCTCCTATTTCTCCTGTATGTGGATTAGTGTCATTTGGCCATGGCGGGAGGGGATCATTTTTGACGGGAGTCGCACGGTATACATGTTCATCAACATCATCCTGGGTAGTCTCTTCTAATTTTTTTCTAAACTCCTCCATTCTTTTAGATGGAGGCTTTTTGGCTTCTTTTCCAGCATTTTCAGCTGGACCAGCTTCAGCTGCTGCCGTATGGCAATATTTGGACATTGAAAAAGCGTTGATTGGCATCCCTGTAATAATAATAATTAAATAACTAAAACCTAAAGTCAGAACATTATAAGTCCTAGTTTAAAGAAAGCTGCTGGGTGTTGAATTTGAAAATACGTGCGAGGCATACAACGTGACACCCACGGGCCTACTTCTGCTGGGGTGATGGATAACCCAGGCTACCCATAGCCCTAAGGCGAGTGCTAACGGTGGTCAGAGGTGGTTTTTAAGACTCCGCCTCTACTGCGCATAAAGGAATCACATTTTTTTGCAAAAATATTGTGACAAATGGTTTCCATTCCTTAGTCCTAAAAATGGTCTTAGTTTTTCCAGTCAGGGGTTCATAACCGACTGAAAACGGTTTCATTCTTTTCTCAATAGGAGAGGAGCCTCAGTGGTCTACATGAAAATACTAATCCCACCATAAAGACGAGACGAGACGAGACCACATAGCTCGCACAAGTTCTCATGTAGAGTCAAGCTTCTAACTCTACAAGCCCCAACTTCACAAATTCCACAGTTTAGTCAAAATATTTGGCTACTCTAAAATTACTTACGCTTAGAATAAACCCTCACCAAATTAGTAAAACTAGACATTACAAAGATTTTATCGCTGGTATTACTTTATAACAATAAATTAAATTTGAAAGTAACAACTAATATTTGACACTGACAACAAATTTTTATTTTCCTATTTATAAAAAAATAATAGTACAGTATAGTACTTCTGAGGTTTACGTTATACAAGGAGGTTAAATTATTATTGAACACGTCATAGTATAAGAGATCAAACCTAAAGAAACATTAATTGAATTTCACCTCGTCTGTCGATAGATGGCGTTGCCGTTGATTTTAAAGTCGCGCTATCGTGGTGTTCCATGAAATGTATAACAAGTCACGATAATATTCGTTACATAACTATAATCTGACTATGTGGTTTCGTTTTAATGCTGTATAATATTCCCCACTCTTGGTCTAAGAGGGGGGAAAAAGATTCTCGATGCTCAATTGAGCAAACGGCAAACTAACTGAGACACCTTCTTTATTTAACCTTTTCGGTAGTTCGACATAGGCCTCAACCAAGGCTCTCTACAACAACCGATCTTGACCTGCCCGCAATCAATTCTTTTCGATATTTGCCTCGTATTTCCCTTATAAGACCAATGCTTAACTTTAAATTAGTAGTATAATTATAATACTACACGATTTATATAAATATAATTCAACTTCTTCCTCTGAACCTTTTTCCTGAACTAGGTAGGGGTCGGCTTTAAGTCTATTAAAATACGTCTAAACTGCGATGTTTTTTACGCGTAGCGACTGCATTCAGACCACAACCCAAGTACTTACAAGGCGATATCAAAGTTCTGTAGAAATACTGTTGTTAAACTTTTTAGGGCTACAACTACCCGCAACGACGTCCACAGATGTTCGTCTAGCAACCGGGATCGGCGATTTAATGTGCTTTCCGAGGCACGGATGGGTCTCAATCTTTTAAAAATGGTCACCCATCCATAGACTGACTAGGATAGATGTTTAACTTTGCAATGTGTTACTCGGTTACTACTTAGCCACGAGTCCCTCCTCTTTAGGTAAATACCGCCGCCCATAGACACCATAAAGGACCACTCTAGAGTATTAATGCGGAAATCGGAGCCCACAACCACTATCAATACACTTGGAGAAAGCTCTCTTGTCAGTTAGCAACGAGTGTAAATTAAATGCGGTGCCATTCATTCAAAACCTCTGACTCCACTGGGTAAATAAAACAAATCGGTTTGACAATATGATGCTTTATTATACATCAAATAACACAACGTATTTACATAACAAAATAAGTTAAAAAATATATACACAATGTTATCTAAACAACTACCTCTAATCTCTTGAAACCTAGTTTTGTTTTACTACCAAACGTTATTATTTGTCAAATATTGTATTAGTGTTGTACAGTGGCAACACTGCCACTCTTGTTGTAGCGAGGTTCTCTTTGGTTTACGAACATTATTATTCCCTCGCATTTTCTCAGATATAACAATGTGTTTCAGAATGTTGTAAACCAAGTTCTATTGTAATTTTATTGCTTAATAAATATCAGTCAAAACTTTAGAGTGTTTATTGAGTAAACTAACAATTAGTATACTCGTACTTAATAAGCAATATAAATGAGTATAATACTGGTATGAGATACATTTGGAAAGTTTTCTTGTCTGCTAATGTTCAGTTTCACTTGGCTGTAAGTCTTTTATAGTACGAGTAATTAAAAGAAATAGACTTATGACAGGTATATTTCTATTTTAAAATCTGTACATAGACAAGTTTTTTTTTTTTATGAACAATTAATACAAACCTACATCTGACCTCTTGTATTTTTACCTAAATTTATTTATTTAGTATCCACACTGACTACTATCATTACAGGTATATCCTAATGCGATAGCGTAACTATTACAAAAATGCTTGTTTTACATAACCTCTAACTTTTTGTTTTGTAACATATAATATATAAAACTGTCTTTGTGAACTCACTCAGTGAAAAAACAACAAATGAACAGTTAAATACAAGGTTTTTTAAGTATGACTGATGATGATTTCATTGTGTGAAAAAAAAACTATTTGATAGTAAACTTAATAATACATAAAAAAATACTTTTGCAAACTAGAAAAAGTTGGGTTTTTAACTGATGTTGCAAACAGTCCTTTGGTAGTTATTTATAATAAATCTTACAAAATATATTTAAAAGCACCTCATGCTTTTTAATGTCTGTCTATAAGCAGTGTTGCCAGTGATGTTTAAATGCTTTTTAATGTCTGTCTATAAAAATGTTGCCAGTAATGCTCAAAAACAATGCAAAATACTTCAAAAATCTGTACATATTCCTTTCCTCTCCCAGTCTCCGTACCTAGTGGGTTCTAGTCCTTTGGGACCACCAATTTCTCCTGTATGTGGATTGGTGTTATTTGGCCAAGGAGGGAGAGGCTCGTCTATCACTTGCGGAGGATGTGACGGTTGTTCACCAAGGTGGTCAATAGGTGTTGTCTCTCTGGGCCTCTTCTGATTGGTTCCTGATCTTTCAACTTGAGAACCAGGTTTTGATTTATGAGAATACTTAGATATTGACATAGCACTTATCGGCAGTTCTGTAAAAAGGTACAAAGTTACTTGTTTTTTTTTATTTGATATGGACCAAGGTCATAAGCAAGTATGCAGCCTGTCTTGTATTAAATTCATTCAGTTTTAGTACTGTATCTGCTAACTTAAATATTTTTTATATAACCTAAATATATAGGGTGGAGGGGCCAAAAGTGCAGGTGGGTCACGTGAAGTGAGAACCGCTGCCTTTTTTCACACAGCTTAATCCCAAACTAGGCAGAGCCGGTGCTATGATAACCAGACTGCTGATAAATATACTTACATATTTTTCTAAATACATCCATAGTATAGATAAACTACACCCAGACACAGAAGAAATGATTGTGTTCATCACACAATTATTTGTCCTGTGTGGGAATCGACCCCACGACCTCTGGCGTCAGGGTCACTAACCACTAGACCAACAGACCAGTCAAATCCTATAAGTATCCCCCTATGAGTCGGGGAGAGGGAGAGTGGGCTCTGGTAAGTCTCAGTCACTGGGTGAAAAGCAACGGAAGAACCGCTAACTGCGGTTTCCTGTAAGGCCGTGGTCATTTTAGTAATATATAAATATAAATTACAGTAAGATACATACATACATATTGGAGAAAATTACATGTTTATTTATAGCAACATTTGAAAGTATTATTATAACTTTCAAATATGTAATAAGTAAAATAAGTAATCATAATGAAGATATACTTACGTTTATAATTATTTCTTATTAATTTGGTTAAGGTAAACATAATTGAAGCGTTTGTATTATTTCGGACTGGAATTTACAATTTGCTTATTCGACAAAATATCAAAATATTATGAAACAAATTAGAATGGTTGACAGTAGAATAAAAATTAAAAACATATGATCAGGGCTGCTAGAAGATAAAAGTAATTTACTACTAAAAATAAATGTAATTGATTTTCTTGAAATGTAACTGTTTGTGTATGTAAACAGTATAGAAAAAGTTATCCCTGAAAAGTACAAAAACGTATACGTATACGTATAATTTATAATTTTTATTTTGACGTGACAACGTCTTATAAATTGGTTTGCCGGGTGACACTTCAAGAAACTGCGTTACGCTCCGCTCACGTTATGCGCTCACAATGAGAGCGAGTGAGAGGCACGCGTCCCTTCCACTCGGGCATGGTTAGCCCGCCTAAGAGCGAGAGAGACAGACATAAAAAATGTTTTAAATTGTTACTATTATTTCATCCTTCTTCCTACTATACGAATGAATATTCACATTAAAATTATTTTACCACTCAAAGTCGTTGTCACGTAAAACTTTCGCCCGTATACCGACTTTACAGGCAACCAATTTTTTTTTTCTATCAATTAAGTTTTAATACTAAAATAGAACAGTGGTGGTTTAAAAAGTAAGGAAGTCACGTAATTTCTTGACTTAGATCTCTTTCTTTTAATTAAAAATATCTTCCACGAAAAAGAAGCATTACTCCTCAGCACATTGCTTTTATTTAAATTTACATAATATGGTTAATATTTACTTTTTTTTTTCAAATTACATGTCCTTTTTAAACAAAATTCACTAATCACTTACATTATTATTTAAAAAATACCAATAATATTACTATTCTGACTAATACCTACCACTATTAGTAGTCTATGTTATATGGATGTCAATTTTCAATCATGAAATATCATAAAGATTTAAGCATAGGGTGAACAAGAGCCCCAATCTTGCAATAGGGGCAACGAAAGAGATGGATGCTAGATAAATCCCTTTATCTGATTTTAGGCGACCTCTGTGGTTGGCTAGGGAATATAAGGGGTTAAAAACAAAGAGGTTACCAAGGAATACTGAGTTGTTTTTTTTTTTTATTTTGCCAAACTGTAACCTTTTATTAATGAATGTTGAAATAGAAACTCTATGGTTCTTTGTAAAGTTCCTCTTTGAGAGTGTGGCCTATTCTTCTATTGTCAGGTTACTAGGGTTTCTTTGTTTTCTGACACTCTGTAAAAATACTTTGACATTATTAGATTATTGAAAAGTTCCATGTGTATTTTCTATTATAAAAGATCCTATAACTTCAACAATGAAAAGCTGTAACTTCAAAAGGTAAAGTCAAGCATTGTTTTCAATCCAAAGAGGTTTAATCTTCTCTGAACAAACTTCGCTTTCACACGTAAGTTGATTTCTTACCTCAATAATTTTAATTTTATTCCATTCTTTATAATAGTCAAAAATGTAAATAAGTTTGTCAGACTTAAAATATTAAATTTTTAACACACTGTGTCTTATTTATTTCTTTGGTTGAACTGTACTTCATTTATTAATTTAAATGATTAAAAAGGTAAAATGTTTATTAATAGATAATGCTTTTATTTTTAAAAATACTTTTAGTTTTACTTACTTATAGTGTCAATAGCAACACTTTACATGGTTTTGCCTAGTGCTTGATATAGGTCGTCAAGCGTCCCGCATTAGTTTGGCCAGCCGCGAGGGGGCGGCGTCCGCGTGTGCCGGACGTCGCCTAAAGAGAGGAAAATTTTGAGACGGGGCCCGCAATAGGAGCGGGCCGGCGCTAGGAGGGGTCCAGAAGGCGATAACTACCAGGACCCCTCCTAAACTGGAAGCGCAAAGAGGGCACACCGTGTGGTATTAGTCGGTTCGAGTCCGACACACCACCCCGCCGCTACTTTACTACATTTACAACGCTTTTAAATGTTTCCCTCAAGTTATGAGCTATGTGTTTTGCATACCTTGTGACTGAACTATTTACACCCAATTTGTACATCAAATAAAAACCATGCCCTCTTCACGATAACCAATTGCAGCAAAAATAAACAGAGACAGAGATATATATAAACAGAGACAGAGAGGACTATCGGGCATCCATGTCTGTCGTTGCCTTTATTGCTTCCACTTACAGGCCCTCGTATACCCCATGTTCACTCTATGCTTAAATCTCTTTGTGAAATGTACTCTGTGGTCATGAATACTATTGAATACTAATCAATCAATATTCAAAAGTACTGGTGTCAAAAATAAAATTATTATTTTTGCTTTGGGTATAAGTTGTTGACTTATATATAAACTAATATTTATGGTAAAATTGTCGTAAACTTGTGCGAAATATAAAAAAAATACTTCCATTATGTATAAATTACTTACAACATCAATTGCTTCTTATTCCCGAAATAAATTTCAATTTGGTAGTGAATATAAGGTTTAAAGCGGCAAATAAAATTACTATATTTAGTTAATTTACACCGTAGAGCATAAACAACATCAGATTTTTTTATTTAAAAATGGAAAAATTGCCGATGTGTCGTTTGTGTATGGCGGAGAATGTGCGCCTGTTAAATATTGTAAATACTCAACTACAAGAGATGTTCGAGTCTCTTTTATTGATACCGGTAAGTTTAACACCGTAATTTTTTTTTTGGTGTGACAAACGAACAGACAGGTCACCTGATGGTAAGTAACTACCGTCGCCCATGGACCCTTCAACTCATGAGTCACAAGTGACCTCCCTTTGAGTTCTCTCTCCTAGAATCAAGGCCAGGCAGGGGAGGATTGGGCTCTGGTAACATCATGCCTCAGTAAAAGGCTACAAAGACAGCACAAATAACAGACTTGTCATGGGCCTCTCCCACACAACTCATATAACACATGTTAAATAATTAAAATATTAGTTAGAATAATTAATAGTCATAATTACAGTTTGGTCTCGAAGAAGAGTGCTTTTAGATGAAAGCTTTACACCAGCTTCTCGAACATTATATTCTTTTTAAACAGAACTCCCGCACTAGAAATATATCCTGTGTTGAGGGGGACTTTACAAACATTCATGAAATGGACATGAAGAATACCCAGATTTAGAACAACAATTATCACATATAGTTTTATTCCATGTGAGGATTGGACCCGGTGAGGTGACCGCTTAAACCACTACACTATCTGTGCTATCTGGCTGTTATCTGTACTTTCTAGTCCTGGGACCAAAATAATCTGCTTGTAATTCCTATGAATTAATTATTTACTTAAATTGCAGCTTGAGACCGATGACAGTAGGCCGATAACTGCATGCTACATCTGCTGTGCCAGGCTTGCGAACTGTTATCAGTTGAGGAAGAGAGGTCTCCGGAGTGAGCAGCTGTTCCCACAGATATTGAACTCCAGAATGGTGAGTTGTTATTTTTAAAATAGGAAAATGCAAACTGCTGCTTTTTGCATGCCTGGAACTCTAACTGGCTCCATCCGTTTCATATTTTTAATTCTTCTGAAATACACATGTATATTAGGTCTTTACCTATGAAGATTTGAAAGATTAAAAATTTTGGGAATTTTTTTATTTTAGCTTATTATAGTATTGGCGGAAGTAATTTTTTTCTTTTTTATTCGATTCTGCAATCAGCATTAGATACTTTGAACAGATGCGCTGATCTTTGTCACAATTTGAGTGTGACGCAGTGAGGTCATCTGTATCGGTGATGAACCATAGGGCATTGCATATGATTCTTAGTATCATATTCTGTATTCATTGTAGTATCAAGATGCTGGTATCACAGGCACTGCCCCACAGTTGTATGCCGTACATCTAGACAATTTTGGAATTTTGATGGCAGTTTGTTTACTGTAGAAGTCTGCTGGATGGAAGGCGATGAAGTCAGCGACAGCGTTTTGTACTGCCTCTCGCGTGTTAAATTTTTTTTCCTATTAAAAAATTGTCGTGTGGTGACGGATTAAGAATACAGAGTGTCACCACCCCTATTCATCCCGTGGGTGTAGTAAGAGCCGACTAAGGGAGAAAACTATGCAGAACAACAGCACTGCAGAGAGAAGGAAAACTTGACACAAACCCTATACCAACCCGTCTGGCCAGCGTGGTATAGTAGGCCAAAACCTCCTTTCTAAGGAGAGGCTTATGTCCAGCAGTGGACTATTAAAGGCTGTTGATGATGATGATGAAAAAAATGTCTAAACTTTGAAAAAAAGGAGATATCTGTTGGGACAAGGTCCGGTGAATACGATGGGTGACGGAGAGCCTCCAGCTGTAACTCTTGTAGCTTTGCGATGGTCGGTTGTGAAGTGTGAGCTTGCGCGTTGTCGTGGAGAAGTGATAGGGAAGAGCGCTTGGTCAGTCGTGGCTGTTGAATTGTGAGCTTCTCCATCATTTTTTGCACATTTGGTTAGAAGCTGTGATGTACAAGTCCAGCACTAGTCCACCAGACAGTCACCATTATCTTCCTATGAGTAATAGTTTTTTGATACTGATGAAGAGCTGTACCGAGAACCGTAAGCGTTCATCACGGATTCCATACGTTGATTTTCCATACGTTCATCCCAGTGGGTGGAGCCGGGTCCACCCACTGGGTTGAACGCTTACGGTTCTCGTGCAGAATCTACTTTTCATCGCAGGTAACAAATTTGATTCAGAATTTCCTCGTTTCTATGCTGATTCAGTAATGCTATGCATGCGTAAGTCTCGTCTATGGTCGCTTAGTTCGTATGGCACCCATTTATCTAGCTTTTTTATCTTGCGATTTAATTCAAGTGCTTTAATGTTGATTTAACACTAACTCCAAAGCCCGCAGCAAGCTCAGCCGTAGATGGAGTTTGATCCGCTTCCATTATCGCTTTCAATTCATCGTTGTTGACTATAGCTACCGGCCGACCTCGAGGCGGAGGAGGACTTTTTTTTGTCTTTATTTACGGAGCTTAGCCACAATGATGACTACTAGTTCTTCAAATCAAAATTTCCAAATCTTAAACAATTGAATCAATAAATGGACCTTGTTTAGGCCCGTACCGTACCGTACGTCGTTAATATTTCGTGTTGTTAGCGCAACGGTATTTCTACGTAGAAGCTGAGATTCGAAAATTGTACGCATTTTCAGTGTATAAATGGCGCCAAAACCTCCTTTCTATGGAAAGGCCTATGTCTAGCAGTGGACTATTAAAGGCTTTTGATGATGATGATGAAATGGCGCCAAAAACTACCACAATTTGACAAAAACAAAACACTATTCTGAATGAATTTTAAATAAAAATAACAATGCTGCCGAATAAAATTTATTTGAATTTGGAATTGATCGCCAATCCACAGATAATTAAATCTGAAAATGCTGGTTTTAAAAATCTCCAACTTCATAGGTAAAGACCTGTCATTTGGGCAGTTGATATGCCTGCCCTAGTTCATTAACAGGAGTTCAGGAGACACATACGGGTACTCTTCGTGCTACTGTCTGAGTTTCCTTTGCCATCTAAGACTTGGGGATCCCTTACTCTATTTTTATATCTTTCTTTTGCTATTTTTCTTATCCTATCCTTTTAAACTTTGTCCTGTCTTAAAATGATTCCCAAGGATAGTCTTAGTCAGGATGACGCGCAAGCGCCGACTGCAAGTAGAATTGGGAGGAGAGCTGGACTATGATGGTGAGAATAACATACTTCCGCCTTATTGCCCGGCTCCGGGCAGAGAGGATGCTACGTCATATGTCATGATCCTGGAACACAACTCCCTTCTTATTCACATCCACCAGAGTATTTATACAGGTTCGCGGTTACGGTTACTTTTAAGACAGACACAGACAGACAGTATACTGCAGAAGGGTCTGGACCCTTCTGCAGTATACCGTCTGTAGTGGCAAAGTTATATTTCTCCCTAATTCTAGAAATGGGGAAAGTACGTCAGCGCACTTAAGTGCCAGGTGTCCAGTCACAGGTGACCTATGGGCTTATTTTCCTCCTATTCTATTTTGTGGTCTACCCAACTCTCCCTCTCACAGGAGCCATATAAATTCCTTCACTTCTTCCAAAATACCCAAACCGTAGCAGCATACCTTTTGAAATGTATATTTTACATGACTTGATTGTAGTTACGAGCAAAGAGAGTCACGAATGAACTGAAAAACAGTCTCGGAATAACAGCAGTTGTGCATCTGAGCGTAGGAGAAGTTTCTAAAGAGAATAGAGAATCTCTTGTTCAATTAAACACTCTGGATGTTTTAGAAGAGTATGGAGTGGAGATAAATGAAGGTATGTGATGCTTGTATTGTGTTGTTAATTACGGAAGGCTCCTGAGAGAGAGGGGCTTTATACATGATTTTGTCTCGGGGAAGGGAAACAGACGTTATTCTGACAAAAGTTGTAGGCTTGTCGCACTCAAATAGAGAAAATAAATAACTAAAGCATATCTCAGAGGGATTACTTTTCTTCGAACTTTATTTTGGGCTAAAATAGATAAATATCCATATAACTGTTCACCCAGAAATCAGTGCATAAAGCATTCTTTTTCTCTAGTCGAGTGGGCCCGATGGAATCTCCCCTATCGTGCTGAAGACGTGTGCTCCAGAGTTGGCACCGATTTTAACGCGCCTTTTTCAACTCTCCTACTTAATAGGCGTCGTCCCAAAATCCTGAAAGGTAGCGTATGAGCACCCGCTCCCTAAAAAAGGTGACCGCTCTGTTACGTCCCACTACCGACCTATAGCCATAACTCCCATGTTCTCTAAGATTATTGAATCCGTAATCAACTGCCGGTTCCTTCGGTACTTAGAAAATCACCAGCTACTCAATGACCGACAATATGGTTTTCGCCGGGGTCGCTATGCTTGTGATCTTCTCGTTTATCTAACACACCGGTGAGCACTGGCGACCAAGACCAAGGGAGAGGCTTGTGCGGTAAGCTTGGACATAGCAAAAGCCTTCGATTGGGTCTCTCATAAGACGCTTCTCTTAAAGCTTCCTTTCTATGGACTGCCCGAGAAATTATGTAAGTGGGTCACCAGTTTCCTTGCAGACAGAATCATTAATGTCGTTATCGACCGTGCATGATCAGACTTGAAATCAGTAAGTACTGGTGTCCCACAAGGCTGTGCTATCACCCACACTGTTTCTTGTGCATATCAATGATATGTTGCAAACTAGTAGCATCCATTGCTATGCAGATGATAGCAAGAGAGATGCCTTGTATACCGGTCGCCCCAATATTTCTCGGGAAATCGTCATTGAGAGTCGAAACAAACTTGTATCTAAAATTAAAACTTGCTTAGCGGAGGTTTCAGATTGGGGTGGACTGAACCTAGCCTATTTCAATCTAAAAAAGACACTGGTATGTGCGTTCACCGAAAAAAAGATACCATTTGTCGTATCCCCTAAGTTTGAGAGCACACACTTAACTGCCTCAGCCAGCATCGGAATCCTAGGCATCGACATATCGAGCGAAGTCCAGTTTCGGGGTCACTTAGAGGGTAAGGTCAAATTGACCTCGAAAGAGCTCGGTGTGCTGAACAGATCGAGGCAGTATTTCACTCCGGCCCACCGCCTCCAACTCTCTGTGAATAATGTTCTTATCTTTATGAAGGAACACCCCAGTACCAGCTTCTCCCTCTGGACCGTATCCAACGAAGAGCATATCGAATCTTCGATAGCCAAAAGATCTCCGACCGGCTCAATCCCTTAGGCGTTACGTAGAAATATAGCTTCTTTCTGCATTCTCTATCATATGTATCACGGAGAGTGCTCCGAGGATTTGCTCGGACTAATACCAGCCGCAACTTTCCGCCATCGTTCCACACGGCAAAATTTTCATCCTTACCACTTGGATAATTGGCACTCCACCACTGTGCGCTTTTCAAGACACTTTTTGCATCGCACAACCAATCTGTTTAACAAGTTATCGTCTGCGGTATTTCCGATCCGACACGACCTTCAAGAAAAAAGCGTACTCCTTCCTCAAAGGCTGACAACGCGCTTGTGACTCCTGAGTTGCAGGCGTTCATGGGTGGCGGAAGTTGCTTTCCATCAGGTGACCCGTCTGCTCGTTTGATAATTGAAGAAAAAACTTGAGTGCATACCACAGATAATCATAACGCGCCTTTTGTTTTGATGGACGTCGAATATTTTACAGCTAGATTCAGTTGTTTTAATTTACTCTGTGGTTTGTGTGGGAAAACAAAAGTGCCGTCTCACTATTTTGCTCGCAATTTTTAAGTATTTATCTCTCAATAAGAACCTTCCTTGTCTTAACGAAAATATACAAAAAAAAAATTGGTTAGTCGATCGAACCGTTCTCGCGTTTTGGGCTGAGCAATGCCTTTGAAAATGCGTTTTATTTATAAAGATATGTATGAATTCAGGATAAGTATGTTTATCAGCGGTCTGGTCACCATAGCACGGGCTCTGTCTAGTTTGGAATCAGCGGCGAGATGAGTGTGTTAGGTTATTATTATAATAAAAGTGAATAATTGTTACAGAAAAGGACGAAAGACCGTTTTACAAGAGAAGCATCCAACTGCTGGAGGATGTTGAAGCTCTGGAGTACATAATAAACATCGTGAAACAGGAACTGTCTGATGAAGAGATCAGTAAGTATTTTCTACCTTGAATCTCAATCTCAATCTCATGAGTAACGAGTCTACTCGTTAGTCTTTCTATTCCTGGTAAGAGACACAAGTGCACCCTCCCGCACCTCCTCCCAGAATCAGGGTGTATGTATGGCTCGAGCAGCTTAGGGTCTCGAATTAACATTTCCGGGAGTCCGAGCCCTCAAGTCTGTTTGTATTTTAGGGATGGTTTTTATTTTATTTTATTTGTTTGGTTTCATTTCTATTTTATTTTCATATGATTTCCGTTCATTCGTTTCGTTTCATTTTAATTTTTTGATTTTATTCCTCCTATATAAGGCGCAGTGTGGCACACCGTCTTGTTTTTGTTAGTCTGACTCCGCTACACCGCCCCACCGCAAACCCCGGTGGGGTGACGGCCCGGGGGTCTTCACACACAAAAAAGGTCTGTTAAGTATTCTACAAATCTAATCTAATTATCAGTATGTAACCAGATTAATAAGTATTATCCTTACAGATAGTATCTATCTGGAGGGTGATAGCCAGCTGTCCGAAGTAGTTCCTTACTCGGGACAGCATCTTGCACTTCTCGATGTTGAGAATAACGAACGTCAGGATTCGAACAATAATTCGATGAGTAAGTTTTTTCTGTGATTGATTCGTGATGTGGTTCATTTTGAATGGTGTACATCGTACATCCCATTGGGCAAAATATTTTACGTTAAATTTCACTTCCCAAAAAACTTATCGCCCCCCCCCCCCCCCCCCCAAGTTTAATTGCCCCAATTATCTTTACCAACATTTATATTTCACATTATATTCACTTGGTCAAATTAATGGTCATTTTACTTTTTCAAGTTTTATTAAGTCAAATGTTTGTTAAACTAATGTTTTATTTTGGCAAAAGTATTATATTCCAAAAAAAAATGTTTTTGTATGAACTTCTCAAAGAAAAGTAGGTTAGGTTAGAACTAAAACCCCAAAATCGCCAACCGAGCGAGCGAAGCGAGCATTCTACGGCAGCGGCTGGCGAAACGCCAGTAACGAACTGTTCCAAGATTTTATACTTAGCTTTTAATGCTGTTAATTTGAACTTGTATGGGGAAATTCAAACGATTCATTTGACTAAAATAATACTTGGTAAAATGAAACATGACCAACCAATTATATGTCAAACACTAACATGTCAAAAATGAGTTTTGCTAACTAAAAAATTGCGATAAGTTATTTTGACAAATGTGTTTTTGCCAAATTAAAATTTTTCATAAAATAGTTTGCGATGTATGTACACCATGAAATTATAAAGTATGAAGTGTACGGCAATAAAATATATTCTAACGGTTTAGGTGACCAAGATGTTGAGGTTATCAGTCCACCAATGGTGATAGAGGACGTTGTAGATACAACTCCTGATAAACAAGAAGAAACTGTTGCTGATGAGGGAATAAATAAAACGCGTACTGACGATAATACTGCAGAGACAGTAACTGTAAAAAGACTGACGGTCGAAGATATGATTGGGTACAGCGGAGGACTGCGGGTTTACGGTTCTTCGCCGTATACAATTAAATATTCAACCTGTGATATTTGTCGAGAAGGTTTTATTAAAAAAGTTGATTTATTAAAACATAAGCTTGCCGTACACCCACGTGTACGATACGATGACGGCAAGAATGAATTTATTGATGCGGTGACAGAACTTAATGAAATAACCACTGATGTGTATCTTAGGTCAGACAAATGCAAATGTAGTGCATGTGTCAACAACTTTTTCATGTTTCAATATCCATACATGCCTGTTGTTGAAGAACCACATAAATGTGACAAATGTAATGAATCTGATGTACACAGTAGTGTCAGTAACCAGAAAAGTGTACACGACCCTAAACCTCATCCGTGTACGGAGTGTAAAAAAAGCTTTGACCTCAAAAGTGAGCTAGTTGCTCACTTGAGTGTACACACTGGAGAAAACCAAATGTGTGCAACATTGGTAACCAAAGTTATAGAATGAATAGGTCATTAAACGTACATCTTCTAGAAAATGCTGGAAACCAATATATATGTGACAATTGTGATGAAAGTTTTAAGAATAAAAGATCTTTAGTTAAGCATATGGAGATGCATAACGGTACTGAACAATTTAAGTGTTGTGATTGTCACCAATGTTTTAGTGACAAAGTCGTTTTGGAGGCTCATATGTGTGTTCAATAAGTTGGGGACACATTTTTAAGTCCAAAACCTTTATAATTAAATATTATTCAATCCGAATTTATAATTATATTTAAAAGTCGGCCGCGGCCCGAAGGTTAATGTTAGGAAGTTGCATATAATTATACTAATCGGCGCTAAATTCAATGTGCGATACAGGATTAGCAGTTACTCCGTAGTTTGGTGTGGCTTCGTTAGATGGCGCTGTAGTATGTTTTTGTATTGTATGTGGAAGTCGTCACACACATTCAAAATAAGGTGTATCACAGTTCGGTCTGTTTTAAAGTTTTTCTACAAGAAATCTCTGATATATTGATCCCAAATATAAAAAAAAAAATCGGTTGTCTGTAAAGTCGGGTTACTGATGATAGTTGAACGTGACAACGTCATAAGAAAATACTGATGGAATGGTTGCATTTTTCAAAAGAAAATTTTAATTACGCTTCATACTTGACAAAAACATGTAAATGTATTATTGTATAGCAGCTGTCCACGCGGACGCATCGCTGACTCAAGTAGGAGAGAGACAGATGTCGAACGCTTCCGAACGCGGAGGCCGATTGTGCCTCTTTGTCGCTCGTTCCGCGCTCTCGCTTGCACTTTAAGCCTTAAATGGAACGCCTCAGAGCGAGGTAACGCCGCGTGCGTCATGTTTTTTCGTGCGTGCAGCCGGCTCCATCGAATTATAAGACGTTGTCACGTCAAAAATAAAATCGGGATGGGTTTTAAGTTTAATCACTAGTTGACCAGACACAGCCATAGTTATATTTACTAGTAAGGATATAACGTTAGTAAGTGTGGTATTAAATTGATAAGATGAATTTCCTTTCTAAGGAGAGGCCTATGTCCAGCAGTTGACTAGTAAATGCTGTTGATGATGATGATGATGATGAATTATAATGAAGCTGATGTTGTTATGACCTGAAATAGTCATTACAGAAATTAATCCATCATCGATTAAGTTTCTACTGTAAATGAAGCCGGTTTTTGTGCCATATATTGATGGGAAGGTACAGATAAAATATTATTATAAACATATACTTACTCTTAACAACAATAAAGTAGATTTTCTGTGTTAAATAAATTGTGAGTATAATCAGAGCTTGACTTATCCATAGACTAAAAATAACACTACCTAGGGCGCAAAGATCAAAGGGCGCTGAGTTCTCGACTTTGCAATAACCAGTTTCTCGCATACAGAAAATTGTTGGCCCTAGCGCGTTCAGAATAGTAAATCAGGCCCTCAGTTTTATTCTCACTGTACGTAGCTTTTTGATGTTTTATAAACAAACATAGATATTAAGCTTAACGGAGAACTTCCTAAATGTGACAATCTGTATTTCTGTGTCGTAATAAAAAAAGTTTCATCTTATTATACTGTCTTTTTATTCTCGTATCCCTACCAACCTATTCCAATAGACAATGCCCTGGTTGTCTTTGTTGTTAGGTATTAAATCAAGATTCTTTCGTTTAAATCATTGGCGCGTACAGCATCTGACAAATCTACATCTCTTACATCTATAATGTTATAAGTTGAATACTCTACTTCAAAGTGGACAAAGAAACTGTTAGAAAAGTTAAGCATATATGTTTAGAGTTATGAAATACTTTAACGGGAAAAAATAGTGAATTAGCAGAGGACCGAGTATAGAACCCTGAAGTACTACTCCACCAACACCATTTAAACAGGGGCGTGCGCTCCTTGTAGACAGAAATGCAGTGCTTTACTTGCTATTCACAGACATTTTAATAAAACGTTCGCACGTTTTAAATGACTTTAATTAATAGTAAATAAATGAATAAACAAAATATAATAACTTAAAAACGCCTACTATTTTATAAATAGCATCTATTTGTCATTTGAAAGCACACAAACATTATGTTTGCCAGGTGTTTACCAACAAGCAAGCGGCGCTGTACCTACCATCCAACTCATGCCGAAACATGCCGCAGGAAATTTGTTCGCATGTGTGCAGTAATTTTGGTGTCCGTGCACAGTTCACAAACGCACACACCCATATATTTTATTTCCCCGGCTCCAGCCGCAGGCTACTAAAGTTCGGCAATTATCGGGAGTAATCGGAAATGTTCGTTGCCTATAAATCGACTAAACACAATAGACAGAAATATAATAAATCATGTGAGCGGATTATGAATTTTGAATATGGTAGGGTTTTATTTGTTTAATTAGCAGATATTTTTTGTGTTTCGCGGGGGCCATATTGCTTTTTTCATGTGATAAGCATTGTTTACTATTTTCTTTCCGCCAGTATAATTATAGTTTTATTTTTCATTTTAACATTTGAAAGTGTGTACATTTAACAGTTTATTACTGAGTTCCGTTGTTTTTTTTTAAATGTTATTTGATTGTGAGGTATGTGTGGAAAATGTGTGTGACCAGGTGAGTATTTATAATATTATATTTTAGCTTATTATTTTACTTATTAGAATTTCTTCCGCCGCGACGATCTATCGCTGTTTTGTCTGCGTTCCCGTTGAAGATGTACATGAATAGTAGTACATCTAAGACTTGTTCTGTTGGCATGGTTTACGACTCCGAGAGAGAGATCCGTCGCGTGGCTTTGGCTATGCTAAAAATCTATAAAAGAAAAAGTTTTTGTGACCGACTACTCAGCCGCATACCTAGTGTCATAATCCTGTGCACGCCGCTGCATTTAAAAATATAAATATGCCATTTAAAAGTATTATCTTGAGGCGCTACCGTCGGTATAGTAAACATTCATGATTACTTAGTGTTTATATGTTGTTAATAACATCGTATAAGCACTCAGGATAGGCGAAAAGATTTTAACAATTGTGTCAAAAGCTTGACCCAATTCTTTTTTATGGTATAGGGAGAAATCGAGCAGACGGGTTACCTAATAAATACCGCAACTCAAGAAGGCTTATCTTAGCGACGGTTTTCTGTAAAGCTGTGGTATAAACCAGGTCGAGTTGTACTAAATGTGCCGCGGCATGGATTTCCCGCGGTTTAATGTAGCAAATGCACCGACTGCCTGTTCTCTCTGCATCACAAAAAGGTTGACTGGTAGAAAATGCCTTAGGCATTAAGTCCGCCAATGCACCAAAAGTGCATGATGTATAAATAAATAATATATAAAAGGAACAGAGAGGTATGAAGGGAAGGTAATGGAAGAAAGGATGAACAAAATACCTTATATGATAAATCTGTCCCATGTTGATCAGATCCAGACCATGTTGAACACACATGTTGATCAGAAGGAGACTATGCTTGGTTGAGTAAAAAATAAGCAAATAAAATTGTACATAACTAATTTATTCACAAAATTGCTTATTTGTTAATGTTGCTACTTCTAAAATAATATTGCACAAGAATAGGCCCTAGAATGGGCTTTATTAGGACTTAAAATAATTAATTATTATTTAATTATATTTAACAAATGCTTACACAACAAAATGAACATTATCTTACATACAAAGAATTCATATAATTGTGTGAGTATTAAAAAAAAATGAGGTACGTCCTAGATTCCAACTAGGAATGGCCGGATATCCGTAGCCGTATCTGTATCCGAGGGTATCCGAACCGAAAAAAAAGATCCGACTTTTTATCCGTCGGTTAGTTTTGAACTATAAAAATAAAACTATTTCATTTAATAGTGAATTATTTATATAATAAATAGTTATAAGGTAAATATTAAAATATCTTAATAATAAAAAATATTTTAATTTTAACTAAAAAAAAAATATCGGTTGTCTGTAAAGTCGGTTTACTGACGATAGTTGAACGTGACAACGTCATAAGAAAATACTGATGGAATGGTTGCATTTTTCAAAAGTAAAATTTTAATTACGCTTCACACTTGACGAAAACATGTAAATGTATTATTGTATAGCAGCTGTCAACGCGGACGCATCGCTGACTCAAGTAGGAGAGAGACAGATGTAGAACGCTGCCGAACGCGGAGGCCGATTGTGCCTCTTTGTCGCTCGTTCCGCGCTCTCGCTTGCACTTCAAGCCTTAAATGGAACGCCTCAGAGCGAGGTAACGCCGCATGCGTCATGTTTTTTCGTGCGTGCAGCCGGCTCCATCGAATTATAAGACGTTGTCACGTCAAAATTTGGGGTCGTCTGGTAGATGTGAAACATCAATTGAGTGAATATCAATCATAGCTTATAAAAGGACACAATGACTATAGCACAATAAAAATAAAACTGTGTCACTTGTAAATTGCGACGGTACTACATGTTACGACTGGCGTTATGTAATCATACAGCGTGGCGTGGCGACGCACGTCGTGGCGGCGGATTCTTGTTTGTTGATCAAAATTATAGTAGAAATTATTATTATTCTGATTGCCAAGTGCGAGTTTAATTCACATGCGCGATGGCGAGCGCGTTTAGCGTTGCGATTGGTCGAGATTTCAACGAGGGTCAATCGTAGCGGGAAACGCGTTCATCGTGACGATCGAGTAGAAGTGAAACAACCTCGCATTTGGGCCTCTGTACCCTTAATGTAAACGTCTAAAATTCAACGCATCGAGACATTTGTGTATCCGTATTTTTGGATACATACACTATTATAATCCGTTTTTTTCTTCCGTATCCGCTGATGTATATTTTCACTTACCAATCCCTCACATCATGACTAGAAATTCTTTCCTCCTATTAAATACATACTTTTACATACTTTAGATTTTATTAAAAAAAAACAACGTTTTTCTTAATCCATAGAGCAGTAATCATAATTCCTTATTTCTATGCCGAAATAAAAAAAAAACATCACTAAGGATAATTATAACTACAAATATAATTTAAAAAAATATGCCTATAAAGTTAAACGCTTTAGACGGAGACGTAAAACAATAAATAAGTAAAATAACTGCATTCCTGTTTATTGTTACGAGAAAACATAATGTTACCTAACAATTACTTACGCATAATATATACAAATAATTTTATTGTAATACGTAGATATTTTGAGTTAAAGATAAACCTATACCTGGTTCGTAAGTCCCAGGCGCTGTCGCAATCGCATGTGTAGCCATCTATCGCGTGATGGACCCGGCACCTACACGCTGATCCGTGTCTCTATAACACCGCCGGTGACCTCAGTCACTCGATGAGAGAGAGTGAAAGAACACCGGTTCTTTGTGAAGCCGTGGTCGTGAAATCCCATGGTATAATTGCAAGATACTGGCTTTAAATATGTACAGCTTCAGAGACCATCCAACGAGAGACTAGGTCTTAGGACCCGCTTGGGTAAGAGTATTGGTATTGGTTGTGGGCTTCGGTTGAGGCATTTAAACTCAAGAGTGGTCTTTTATGCGTCGAGGACTGGTTAGCTAGGTGAGCCAACCAAGCTCCTTCCAGAAGCGCAGAAGCCTCCTGGGGCGTTCACAGGCTTCTAGGAGCGATTTCGATCTTTTAAGATGCCTACTGACATGAGATAGACAAGCAACTTTAGTTTGTGTATCATCATCACGAACGAGAGGTAACTGTGCCCCATTACAGCAAAGAAGAATGAGAATTATCCGATCAGATAAGATGATCATGGCGGACCTCTTGGTAGATTTTTAAAAGCTGTCATTTATTGTATTCCTTAGTGTTTCTACAAAACATTGGTTTCTTAAAAACTTGTGATAGTATTATTTAAGCAGGCATAGACAATGCTTCTATTACGACCATAGACTGTTGTTTATTTTAAGTGCGACCTCTACGCGTTTCTAAATCAAAGATCATGACAAAAAGAGTTTTTTTTTTCACGATTAACCTTAAAAAATGAATCCTATCATGTTATTCTTCATACTGTTCGTGATAAAAGATTTTTCATCCAAAACTAGACAAGAAAACTTAAAGAATATCGTCAATAATTTTAAATACCAGTCATATAACAATAATTCTAGGATACAATAATTTCTAACTCTCGTAATGTCCTAAATGCCCATGAGGATGGTAGTACCGCCTGCCCTGGTACTCCTGAGGCTGCTGAAGATACTGAGGATACACCACTCCACCGTAGAGCTGGGACAGAACGTCGTACGGTGGGGGAGCGGGTGGGGATCGCGCTCTTGGTGGCGTCGCCATGCTGAAAAGTGCTTCAGGGTCGCAGACGAATTTGTAGACGTAGCGTTCGCCTGTGAACATTCATAAACGTATGCTTATGAGAAGACTATAAGCTAAGCCTTACTGCTAAACCGCTGGTCGTGGGTTTGATGCCTCGCCCAGGACAAATAATAATGTAACGAGCACGATTATTTGTTCTGTGTCTGGGTGCAATTTGCCTATAAGATGTATTTACTTGTTTACATGTTGTTTTTTAATAAAAATACTTTCACACACCTCACACACGGTCGTCTGATCCAAAACTAGACACAACTTCTATTATGGTAGCCAGACCGCTGTTTAACATCTATACTCTATACAAATAAATAAAATTGGAGTGTCTGTTTGTAATATTAAAAGAACCGCTTTTTACTAAATGCATATGTACTCGTATGTTTACATGGTACATATGCCAAAATAGCATTTTTTACAACTTTTGTCTGTCTGTCTGTCTGTTTGTTCCGAATAATCTCTGGAACGGCTGGACCTATTTCGACAGGACTTTCACTGGCAGATAGCTGATGACATAAGGAGTAACTTAGGCTACTTTTTTTACACTAGCTGCGCCCCGCGGCGTTGCCCGCGGTTATAACAACAAACGCGGTTAACACCGCGGGTCTCAGCTAGGCCTTATATATTTCTAAATAATATGCATATTATAGACAAGTTTTTCCCCGCTGCTCCGCCCGCGTTTATGTTGTTATCGCGGTAAATGTAACGTATGTTACTCGAGGGCAATTTTGTGAATATTGATTTTTTTTTGGATAAGGATTAGTATTGTGTTTATGAAAACACCTTCGCAAATTATTGTCTTTTTTGAATTCATTACCATATACACATGTACCTGATTACATTACACAAATACATGATTACCATAACAAGGGTTATAGTAAGCCAACCTCAAAATATAGACATAAATATGCTGTCTCGGACTTTTTTTTGAACTTTTAAAGGGGAACAATTCTGTCATATATGATTTTTGCAAAACTTTAACCGTTTACGCAGGGCACGCAACGGAAGCTCTCAAAAGGAATAATTTACCCCCGTTTGTGAAATATTTTTTTCTAGATACTTCGCTCCTATTGATTTTATATAAACTATGGCCGCCTTCCTAGTTAACTGGGCTTTCTAACACTGAAAGAATTTTTCAAATTGGGACAGTAGTTCCTGAGATTAGTAAAGATAACACACAGACACAGAACAAATGATTGTACTCATCACACAATCCCTGGGTGGGAATCGAACCCACAACCTCTGACTTAGCAGTCAAGATGACTAACCACTAGACTAACAGCGCCCATTAAATAATAAGGTAGTATAATAAACTGCATATCAAAGCCAAGAGGGGGTTAGCTGACCTCCCCCCCCTATCTAGTTCCGCCCCTGCCAGACATACGTACCTGCCACTTTCTGCATGATCCCCTTTTCATAGTAGTACCTCAGTGAGCGTGACAGCTTGTCATAATTCATGGCGGGTCGGTTCTTCTGAGCGCCCCACCGACGTGCTACCTGCAAGCACAATAATTACTGGGTAATTGATTGTATACAAATAAATACATTCATAATATAAATAGACATTGATAGACGTAATTTTTTTTTATAAATTGATGGAAACATAAGACCGTGTACTGAGGGATTAGGTTCAGGTACGGAGTGTCAACCCGTGGGTATCGTAAGAGCCGACTAATTGAGAAAACCACGCAGAACAACAGAGCACTACAAAGAGAAGGTAAACTTGAAACAAACCCTATATCAACCAACCTGCTAGTAGGCCAAAACCTCCTTTCTAAGGGCAGGCCTATGTTCAGAAGTGGACTATTAAAGGCTGTTGATGATGATGATGATTTTTCGTGGATCGCGACCTCTGAAGAGTTCTTTTGTTTACTGTGTAGTAAACTACATGTTAGTGTGTTTGTAGAGGTCTGTATCCATTCTAACCTCTTCAGGTTCATGGAGCTTGAACTCCAGTCCTCTGCCAGTCCAGGCAACGCATCGCGCGCCTTCTGCCAGCAGAGACACGAGGAACTGCCAGAGTTGTAACGCGCCGCGCCGACCACCACCTGAACACATACCTGATGTGTTTTATTCCTATTTATTAAATAATTCTCCGAGTCTTTTCCCAAACTAGGTTGGGATTGACTTTAAGATTTGAGAGTGCCATCAGACCTCCACACCCCAAGTACGAGGCGATATCGAAGTTCTGCAGAAAGACTGTAGTTGGACTTTTGAGCTCCAAATACCCGTAACGATTGCCACAGATGTTCTTTTGGCAACCGGGACAGACGGCTTAACGTGATCTCCGAGGCACGGAGGGGTCTCAACGTATTAAGAATGATCACCCATCCAAAGACTGATCTGGCTAAGGTTGCTTAACTTTGCAATGTTTTAGCCTACTCGGTTAAAACTTAGCCACAAGTACCTCCTATTTATTAAATAATGATGAAGAAAAATTAACACAAGATAATAAATTGAAAATTCTAGATTTTTCTTGGTCCTTCGAGCTTAAACTTTTTTTTAATTTTTGAAATACATATATTTCAAATTAGTAAGCTTTTTTAAAAAAAAAAGACAACCCGCATTAGGAATATATCCTGTGTCGCGGGGCACTTTACAAACATACATGAAACGGACACAAAGAACACCCAGACTCAGAACAACAATTTGTGGATCACACAAAGTGTCATTCCATGTGGGGATCGGACCCGTAACACTCAGCGTAGTAGTAAGCGGCGAGGTGACCGCTTAAGCCACTACGCCATTCGTGCAGTCGTAAATGACTGACGAGTGACCATTAAAAATTCAAAAGTGAGTTTAAAGCGGCAATACGCTCTTCTTTCGAAGGTTTGAAGGTATCCTATATATTTATGTCCTGTAAACCAGATGCCAAGAGTGAATTTTAAATTACCTGCATGTGTGGTAGTGACGTGTTGGTGGGGGGATGCTGCGTCATTACGTGCCGTATGCGTGGGCGCAGAGCACAGAGAACTGCTCACTGGAAGACATATTGGAATCAAATCAATAATACAACGAATGGGGTGGACTTCCCGGCTGTCGGCAGAACTAGTGATGACGCTGATGTCTCAGCAGTTGGTTCCTAATAATCCCTGATGGTCTTGGAGGTGGAGGTTCCAAACCAGAGAACAAAGAAGTTGGTTTGCTGTAGTTCAGCTATTGAAATACTTCTGTATTAATCTTGATATTTAAATTTTTTGTTTTTCACATGTCACACACGGCCGTCTGATCCCAAACTAGGCAGAGCCTGTACTGTGGTAACCAGACTGTTGATACACATACTTGTATATTACTAAATACAGACATATTATAAATAAATAACAACCAGACAAAACAAATGATCGTGTTTATCACACAATACATATCCTGGGTGGTCACTAGCCACTAGACCAACAGGCTAGTCCACAAACTCGAATAGAACTCTTCTGTTCCCTTCTTACCGAGTTTCTCATCCCAATGTTGGTGATGCTCCGCACTGCTGGATACCTCCTCTCTGTCTCGAGGGTCCTCTGGGACCTCCTCTGTACACTTATAAGAGGGATTGCATCTAAAAATCCGTAAAAGAAACATATGTTTATTCGATGAAATCACTCCAAAATTTTAAATTAATTAATAATTGAATTATAAATTCTTTAAAAAAGAAGTTGAACCGACTTCAAACAATATTAACAAAGACCACTAAAAACCTAGCAGCAATTGCGGTTGAATTGCTGTAATTTTTTAAAGAGTTCCGTTGTCTGTCTCCGAAATTCATCATCAGATCTATATGAAATTTAAATGGGACTATTTCGGAATAAACCCCTTTCGAACAAAAAATAATTTTGAAAACCCGTCTGTATATGACGGAGTTATGACAGAATATACATAAAAAAAATATAAACTTCCGAATTGATAACCTCTTCCTATTAATAGTCGGTTAAAAATGATTAAAGCAATGAAACAGATGATCTCGTTTTCCGAGGCAAACCAGCAGACGGGTCACCAAATGACAAGTGACTATCGCCGCCTAACGACCGACTAGTATCGCTCTTGGAGTCCACCCCCAGAATAAGGGGGAGGAGGGGTTTGCTACCTCATTCGCTCGGTGAAAAACCATTTTTTTTACTGATTTTTTTTAAAGAATCAGGTTTCTCCTCTTAAAGATTAAGCCGCTTGACTATGGCTGCGCTAGGACGGTAAGGGTGTCCCCCTCTATAGGGACACAAGCTTAGAAAATCCGTGTGGTGACGGATTATCTCCCCTATTCATACCGTGGGTGTCGTAAGAGCCGACTAAGGGAGCAAACTACGCAGAACAACAGCACTGCAAAGAGAAGGAAAACTTGAAACAAACCCTATACCAACCCGTCTGGCCAGCGTGGTATAGTAGGCCAAAACCTCCTGTCTAAGGAGACGCCTATGTCCTGCAGTGGACTAGTAAAGGCTGTTGATGAGGGATACAAGTTTGATCAGCATTTAATAACTCTTGGGATCTCGGGATACTCGCAGCCCTGTCGGGCTTAATTTGTACGATAAAATCGTTGCACATTATAACCCTAAAGAACACTTATATGACTTTGTCTGTGTTCTATATTTTAATTATAAATAAAAAACAGGCCATTTTTCTAAAAAAATGAATCCAATTTTGTATGGTGTACAGGAGTTACAGTGTTGGGCGTGTGGAAGGAATTACCATAGATATAATATAAATAGAGGTAGCAAACTGTATTTTCCTCTGTAAGTGGTAGCGTACGGCCCTTAGACAAATAAAGAATATTGTTTCGGCCTTGCATCTCTCTCTGCAATCAGTGACAAGAGCAGAGAGAGATGCAAGACCAAAACAACTTTCTTTCTCTCTCTACCAATCGTGTGCGATAGCGCTTTATTCGCTTCCTCTACCATTTGTAAGCTTTTTGGGAATTAGTCCCGTATAAAAATAATGTGTACCCGAGGCCTGTTAAAGAACGTACCTTTGCAGTTGTGTTGAGTAGTGGGTTCTGTAATCAGGTCTCGTCTCCTCCCCTTCACCTTTACATCTGATAATGAAAACACTGTATTCCTGTATTTAATATTTTAACCTTTTGTGGTATGTTTGTACCTCATGTTTTTAACCTGTGGTACAAGATTTATAAACTGTGACCGAATCAAATTAGATGTCATTCTTTGTTGGTTGTTGTTTGTAAACACACTAATAGATGGCGCTGTACTAAATATTTAGTATTGTTTTGTGAGTGTATTTAGAAAATATTGGCGAATCAATAAGTTTGTGGCGACTCCCACATACAAAGAAACAGAAACATACTAAAGCGCTATCTAACGAAGACACAGAATTGCTAATCCTGTATCGCGATATGAAGAATTCTCTCGCCGATTAGCATATATTCAACTGCCCAACAACAACCGTTAGGCCATGATCACCTCGCCTGGTCGGAGGAGCCTCCGAAGGAAGGACATGATACCCGTTCCTCCACAAGTTGAAATTAAGCTTTGCTTTTTTAATTATTAAATGATATCATTAAAATTTAATAAATGTCTAAAACTAGATGTTATGTTTGTATGTTATTCTTGGATCAGTACTATCATATATGGCTGACTACATTTCCAGTTTTCAAACTGAAACTATAATTATAACTCAAAGTTTCTACTATTGGCTTATTCTAAGTACATCTGAATTATTAGAATATTATTAAAATTTAAACTACGCTTTTAGTTGACAGAAGTCGCTACTTTTATTTTTGGGTTATTTCTTAAAGTTTATTAAGATTTAAAAGTGCCTGACTTGGACTAATAGATGTCGCTACTCATTGTTTCTCTGTTATTTTTAAATGAATTGTGATTTAAAGTGCTTGCTTTTGGCAGATAGATGTCGCTACTCACGGTGTTGGCGTCTCTAGAAGAGTGTGCGTATGGTGCCTGCTGTAGAGTTGTGCTGGGGGGTGCGAGTGAGTGTGCTCGTAGGGGCGCGCTGTTGAGCTAGGGGTGGCCGTCTCTCTGTAATATTAAGTTAGTTAATTAAGATTGTGATGATTGGGTTATTGGTTCTGTGGTATAATATGTCGTTTATATTACACAAAGTAAGTAGGTAGATTCGATTCTCGAATGTAGTAATTTTGTTTCAGCGTTGTGCTTTGAGGAAAGTGTGGACCAAACCAGACTCTTTATTCTTTCTTTTTAAGAAGACGTCTTCCAAACTAGGAAGACAACTTTCATAAAACGGACACAAAGAACACCCAGTCCCATAACAACATTTTGTGGTGCATACAAAGTGTTGTCTCATGTGGGCTCGAACCCATAGCACTCAGCGCAGTAGGAAGATTAGTAGTAGTCTCGATTCCTTTGTGTAGTAATTTTGGATGAGGATTGTATTTCGAACGAAGGGTGTATCAGACTCGACCTTTTATTCATCGCCATCATCAATGACTTATTGTCTCTTTCCCAATTTAATTTTACCTGGTATGCTGATAGTGAAGACCCCAGGGTATGGGGTACGGCTGGCTCTGCTGCGTCATCTCACTACTCGTACGGCTGACCTTGCGACATTAGCATCCTCCACTGCACCTGGGAATAAAATAAGGATTTTATGAGGATAGTACTAAACATTTGAAACACCAGGAGAGCCATGCTTCGTCACAAATAGGCCAGGCTCGACCGGAGTGGTACCACGGCCTTACAGAAAACCGTTGTTCAACAATTCTTTCGTTGCTCGTAAAGGTCTTAAAATTGCATATGTGGTGACGGATTACGAATACGGAGTGTCACCACCCCTATTCATCCCGTGGGTGTCGTAATATCCGACTAAGGGTGCAAACAACGCAGGACAACAGCACTACAAAGAGAAGGAAAACTTGAAACAAACCCTATACCAACCCGTCTGGCCAGCGTGGTATAGCAAGCCACAACCTCCTTTCAGAGAGGCCTGTTGGAAGGCCGTAAAGATTTACCGCGACACCGCAACGATTCGACGGGCCTGTGGTCTGGTGTTTAATGACCCTGACTGCTAACTGTCTAGTCTGTCCTGATCCTAGATTCAAATAATGTAATTAATCTATAATATGTATGTATTTAAAAATGTATTAGTATGTTTTTCAGCAGTCCAGTTACCATAGTACAGGCTCTGTCTAGTTTGGGATCAGACAGCCGTGTGTGAGATGTGGTAACTTATTATTAAAACAAATATCTTCGAAGAAAAACACCAAACAACGTCATTTAATCGAACTTGTATTCCAAGTTGTAGCTATTATATTAAGCAAGTAATTCTTTTATCTCTGACATCGCGAGCTGATGCAATAAAAAGAGAGCCAGCTTATTCTGAAATACAATTATTAACTACTACTGAACAAAAATCTATTTCCCGTGCTGCCATCTAGCAGGTTTATTGCTATTGAGGAGAATCTAATTCTCACTCTCAAGAATTTTCTTGAAAAACCAAAAGTGTGTTTTCCTTTTGAAATATAAGTTAACTAGCTTTTGCCCACGTCTCCGCCTATGTCCTTCCTCAAGAATGAAAGTATCTTCATATCAAATTTTATCTAAATCTGTTTAACAGTTTTTGATTTCTTATTCAAACTTTCACCCCCTTTTAAGCCCCGTAACGGATGAGGAAGGATTTCTGGATTAAAAACTATCCTATGTCCTTTCCCGGGACTCGAACGAGCACTATTCTAAATTTATCTAAGCGGGTAAACGGTTTAAGCGTGAAAAGATAACATATAGACAGACAGACACCCTTTCGCATTTAAATTATTAGTATATTTATTTATTCATTTTGCAGAACATGAGTAGGTATAAAAGTTCTTACAATAGTACAAGTTTCATCATATTCTGCTGTCACAGCAGCATGCAAAAAGTATACAATAACCATTAAATTAATATAAAGATTGGAATTGAGGAAAGTCACTAATAAATTATGTTTACATAGTTATAACTGTTATATAAATTAAACATTGTTCATTAACACCAATTCACTATCAATTAAATAATATCGTTCACAGAATAATATCCTTTTTCAACTAATATTTCTTTGACTTTATCTATACAAATAAATAAAATTGGAGTGTCTGTTTGTAATATTAAAATAACCGCTTTTTACTAAATGCATATGTATGTTTACACGGCACATATGCCAAAATAACATTTTCTACAATTTTTGTCTGTCTGTTTGTTCCGGGTATACTCTGGAACGGCGGGACCGATTTCGACGGGACTTTCACTGGCAGATAGCTGTTGACATAAGGAGTAACTTAGGCTACTTTTTTTAGACTAGCTTCGCCCCGCGACGTTGCCCGCGGTTATAACAACCAACAAGGGGAACACCGCGGGTCTCAGCTAGTTTTTAAATATACTCGTAAATACACTACCTGTGATTCCGAGCACAGATTTTGGTAAACGATTGTATAATCGAACAGCCATACAAAGTGCGCTCCTATTTAACAGGGCTGTTTTATTTCTGGGCATGCGTATTTCCATATCACGCCTCTTACTATTAAGATTTTTAAATACATAAGCATTTTTGCGCACAAACACGACAGTTTATATAATATGGTTTACAACTGTCTGTAGTTTTAATACTGAATATGGCCCGCATGCATTTCTTTTGCGCCTTAAATACAGTTTCCCTATCTGTAGAATTTCCCCAGAACACAACACCATACCTCAGAAGAGATAGATTATAGATTCCCAGTAGTTGGCACCACTCGTTTTTCATATTAATAACTAGCAAGAAGCGGTGCTTTAGGAGGGCTCGCGAAGTTACTTAATTAATTAATTACTTATAATTTATTTGTGCATAACCAAAAAAATCCGACGTAATACTAATCTGTACTAATATTATAAAGCTGAAGAGTTTGTTTGTTTGTTTGAACGCGCTAATATCAGGAACTACTGGTCCGATTAAAAAAAATCTTTCAGTGTTAGATAGCCCATTTATCGAGGAAGGCTATAGGCTATATATCATCACGCTAAGACCAATAGGAGCGGAGCACCAATGAAGAATGTTTCAAAAACGGAGAAAATTTATTACTATTGAGAGACGCAGACGAAGTTGCGCGGGTCAGCTAGTCATGCCATAAAAATATGTATAAAATAGTACAGGCTCTGCCTAGTTTGGGATAAAACGGCCGTGTGTGAGATGTGTGAGGTATACTCGTAATATTATTATTAATAAGTGGTTGAAAAGACTAGTAAAAGTTATCAGTTTCATGTCTATTTATGTTTAAAGCGTATATTTCCGAATAATCTGTGATTTTTTTTCCATATATAAGACAAATGTATTCAAAACTCGCGAATGATATTTTATTCAAAGATTGAACGCAAACAATCGCCAAATTGGTTTTAGAAGACACGTTAATAGGAAACGGAAGTTCGGCAGGGGACGAGTCGTCAACCATTCGAGTCGCGTCGCTCTGTCGCGCGCCAAACAGCATTACCTCTGATTGATTCGTATACTAATATCCGGGAGGGGTCGACTTCTTACCGCACTGAGTTTGATTTCTTTTTGATGTCGTCAATATCGGTTTTGCTTTACAAAGATGTTGAAAGTTAAAGATTTATTGAGTACCGATTTTATACTCTTTAATAGTGTCTCATACCCACATGACGTCGTCATCATCAACAGCCTTTTATAGTCCACTGCTGGACATAGGCCTCTCCTTAGAAAGGAGGTTTTGGCCTACTATACCAAGCTGGCCAGACGGGTTGGTATAGGATTTGTGTCAAGTTTTCCTTCTTTTTGCAGTGCTGGTGTCGTAGTGATTTAAGCGGTCACCTCGCCGCTTCCTACTGTAACTGTAAAGTATGTATGTTTGTAAAGTCCTCCGCGACACAGGATATACCCAATTTAATTAATATAGTTTGATAAGTCGCAAACGGGTCACTGAATCGAAGAATAGTCTTCGCACGTCGTCAATGTTTTTAAAAGGAACTCTAGAATTGTCTGTCCCATAGAATATGTTGGAAAAATAATCATCTCCGTGATTTTTTTTAAATTTCTTTTAAGAATTGATTTGATCACACATGATCATATTCAAATATATATACTTACTGGCGTCTTCCCTATGACGTCCTATCTAAACAATAAAAAATCTCTCCATCATCAACAGCCTATAACAGTCCACTGCTGGACATAGGCCTTTCCTTAGAAAGGAGGTTTTGGCCTACTATACCACGCTGGCCAGACGGATTGGTATAGGGTTTGTTTCAAGTTTTCCTTCTCTTTGCAGTGCTGTTGTCCTGCGTGGTTGTCTCTCTTAGTCGCCTCTTACGACACCCACGGGATGAATAGGGGTGGTGACACTCTGTATTCTTAATCCGTCACCACACGGATTGAAAAATCTCTCCATACCAAATTTCATGTAAATCCGTTCAGCGATTATTGATTCCCCATAGAAAGTTCCACCCCTCTTTACACCTTCTAAAAAAATTCTTTTTGGGATAAACTATCCTATGTCCTTTCCCGGGACTCAAACTATCTCTATACAAAATTTAATCTAAATCGGTTCAGCGGCTTAAATGTGAACTAGTAACACACAGACAGACAGATCGGCAGACAGACAGCCACACTTTCGCATTTATAATATTAGCAGCTTTTTTACAGCTTTCCAGTACCAACAGCTTCTGAGCTAGGCTTTCGGGCGGCCGGACAGACAGATGGTACCTTGTTACGACTACGGACCCCTAAAAACACAAGATAAAAGTAAAAACAAGTGTCCCAATAACTCCACGATCAATAACTAACCAACATTTCATCTTTTATTTTACTATTTACCAGCGGAGTTTCCTCTGGCAATGGCGGATAGTGACGTCACACGCCGCGGGAGGCCTCCGTCATGCTTCCGGCCCGAGATGAGATACCGCGAGTATCTGTCACTGAGTTATCGATTAATGTACGAACTGGAGATGGAAAGGTACAGATTTATCTTAGTTATGCAGGTCACATTACCTCTTGGAGAGATGTACAGCATCTCGTAAAACAAAATTAAAAGATATTTACAATTAATCGAATTTTAAATGTTATTCATTAAATCTTGATGACTATTAACAGCAAAATTAATAGTCCACTGCTGGACATAGACCTTCTTAGAAAGTAGGTTTCGGCCTACTATACCACGCTGGCCAGACGGGTTGGTATAGGGTTTGTATCAAGTTTTCCTTCTCTTTGCAGTGCTGTTGTCCTGCGTAGTTTGCTCTCTTAGTCGCCTCTTACGACACCCACGGGATGAATAGGGGTGATGACACTCTGTATTCTTAATCCGTCACCATCTGGTTACCATAGCACAGGCTCTGCCTGGTTTGGGATCAGACGACCGTGTGTGAGATCTGTGAGGTTATTACATTAAAAAAAAAACGAGACGCGGGCAGAGCCGCGGGCAAAGACTAGTAAAAATAATCACTCGAGCGATATAAAGTACCAACATAAAGTTGATTTTTTCTTTAACATATTTTTAAAATATTCGCTTTAAATTGACAAAAAGATTTAATAATATCTCGCCTTTAGGGGTGGTATTTTAAAATA